TCCCTGCCTCTGGACTAAGTGTCCTGCCCTGCCCCTTTAAGATTTCCAAAAAGCACTCGCCAAACCAAAACAACAACAACAACAACAAAAAAAAATTAAACAAATAATTTTTTAAAAAAAAAGTAAAAAAGAAAAATGCACGATTTTCTTTGTCCTCAGGTGCCGACCTCAGGCACCCGCTCATCGGTCCTGCCACCCTGTTTCCCCAGTATCCAGGGCCCCGCGCATGCACTGTGTCAGCGCTCTGGTGGGGATGGCTGGGGCTGGGTGCTCAGCAGTCCTGGGCTCCCTCTCCCTCCCTACTGACTCCTCTCCTCCTGCCGAGAGCTGCGGGAGGGGCGCTTGGGTCCCGCCGGGCTGGGGCTTGTATCATACCCCCTTTGTGAGGTGCTGGGTTTTTGCAGGTGTGGATGTGGTCTGGATGTTGTCCTGTGTCCTCTGGTCTCTATTCTAGGAAGAGCTGTCTTTGTTATATTTTCATAGATATATGTGGTTTTGCGAGGAGATTTCTGCTGCTCTACTCACTCCGCTATCTTGGCTCCACCCCTCTGATTTGACCGTTTTGTATGAGCCACCTTACCTGCTGATGGTTAGATGTCATGGGCCCCTCAAGGAAGCCTGTGAAAGGGGACAGGCGAACATGACCCCTGCCCAGGGCAGGCTGAGTGAGCACAGATCCCCATCTTGCTACCTGGCCTTTTTGTGTGGGGATGAGCTGAGAACCGGAGGAAAGTCCGCAGTGACTCCATCAGTCCAGGGCCTGTGAAGCCACCAGGAGGGAGGTGAGGGTATGGGGGCTCTGGGTCAGGAGCTCTGTGGGGAGATGGGGTGGCCGTGGTGCACAGGCATCTCAGGCCGGGCTCTGCTCACTGGTGGCTGGTGTCTGCACCTCTGAGAAGAGCTTAGTGTCATCACAGCGTGTGGGCCATGGGGTCAGCCAGAACAGGCTTCCAGCCAAAGCTCAGACCGATTTCAGATCCCCCGCTCTGCCAGGCCCCCTCACCTCCAGAGGGTACACAGCCCGCTCGGCTCCTGGGCTGATGTCAGCAGGAACCAAGGCTGTGTGCGCAGAGCAGGGGGCAGTGTGCAGGGGGCGCTGGGTCACAGGGGGCTCTCGGCGGCTTTTTATGGTCCCTCTTGTATTTCTGTCCTAGGTCCGAGGGGTGAAAGGGGTCTTCTTGGCAAACCAAAAAGTGGATGGGAAGGTGGTAACACTCATAACCTACAACAAGGGCCGCGACTGGGACTATCTGAAGCCACCCAGCGTGGATATGAATGGAAAACCAACCAACTGTAAGCCTGTAAGTGCCTCTGCCCAGGTCACATTCCTTCCCTAGGCGGGTGCAAGACACACTGGAGGAAGCTGGAGAGCCAGAACTGGCAACACCTGAGAAGGGCCGCCTGTGAGGCAGGGGCCGCCGACCTCTCTGGGCCTAGGGGCGAGGCTGGCATGAAACTCCTTGCTTTGCAGAGGGCCTCACTGGTGGGCAGAGAGGGAAAGTGTATCAGTCAGCTTTGCCACAACATTGCTGTGTAACAAACATCCCCAACAACCCTCACTGATCCTCCAGTTCTGTGGCTGAGCCCAGCTGGCACTCTGCTCCACTTGGCTGGGCTCGCTCACAGGTCTGGGGGCTGGTTGATTGCAGGGGCACCTGCTCTGTGTGTCTGGCATCCTTCCCCTGGGGAGGCACCTCTCACAGCTGAGATGTAAGAGGGTGGGCACAACCAGGCGAGTGCAGGCCGAGCCTGCTGGGTCACGTCGCTGAACCACATCAGCCAGCACACAGGGCAGGGAGGGGCCTCTGCCTGCAGAAGTGCAGGGGCTGCACCTGCCAGCCTGCGCCGTGGCCCAGAGGCCATGAGCTCCGAGCCAGTCCTGCTGACCCGGGTTCCTTTCTGCATGGGTGCAGGTGCAGGCTGCCTCACTGCCTCGGCCACCTTGTAGGCAGGGAGGGCTGGAATTCCCTCTGGCCTTTGCATAGCCACCCGGAGATCTGGGGACACACAGACCTGTGTTGGTGAGGATGGGAAGATGGAGTCTTAAGCAGCCCTGGCCTGGGGTGGGCACTCAGGGAGCGGCCGCTGCGAGGACAGAGGAGGCTGGGTGAGACCCACATGTCTGGCCAAGGCAGGCTGCTCAGCCCCCGGTGGGCCTGCCTGTCCCTGCTTCACCGTGAGCTCCCCACCGGTGGCGTCCCTGGTCCCTCCCCAGCCACGGCCGCTCGGGGCTGGAGCCTCTGCTGCCTGCTGACCATGTGGTCTTGGCCAAGTCAACTGATGCGCTGCACCTTTGTTCAAAAAGGAAGGAAGGAAGGAAGATGGTAAAAATTCCCTGTGGCCGTGTGATGAGGGTGAAATGGACTGACGTGCACGCATGCCAGCACAGGCCTGGCATGAAGCAAGCAGAGCGAACCCCTTCCCTTTCGCACTGCCCGCTTTCCAGTGCTGTCCCTAGCCTGGAATGTGCTTTCCTTTTCTCCATTCAGCAAGCTCCTACTGATCCCAAAAACCCTGCCCAGATTCCCCTCCAGGGAGAAGCCTGGGCAGGGGCTGTGCTCTCTGGGGGCCGGCCGCCCGTCACCCTGCCGCCCTGTAATAGAAAGAGTACCAGTGTCTCTTTTAGAGGGACATTCACTCAGCAAATCCCTGTGAGCACTTACCATGTGCTGGGCACCATTCCCCGTGTTTGTGATGCACCCTTGCACACCACAGGACACAGCCCTGCCCTGCAGATCCTGCCTGGGTCTCTGCGGGGCCTTGGGAAAGGGGAGGCCCCGAGGCCCCCAGCCAGTGCTGGCCTCGGGGCCACAGGGTGGAGACAAACAGAACCAGTCCCTCCTTCCCTTCAGGAAACACTGAGCCCAGACCAGGGTGGGACTATGCCCTCGGGCGGCAGCACAGCCGGGCAGGGACGGGCCCTGCACTCTCTGAGCCGGAGGCCTGAACTGACCCTCACCCCCTGCGGGCCTGCGCTTGCCTCTGCAGGAACGCCCCCCCTCGTTGATAATGGAGGGGTGACACCTGCCCATACACACGCGGAGCATTCATTACCTGCCGCTTGTAACAACTCTTCCCAGAACAGGGTCTCTGTGAAAGGGCTAATTTTTGTATTGTCATTGGCAAAGTTAAACCATATTAATCTGTCAGAGCAAGTTCTTGCTAAGAATAGATTCTTGTCTGCAATTATGCAGCTCAGTGAGGAGATAATCTTTGTGAGATTTATGTCCCGGTCTTAAAATAATAAAAGTAGGAACAAACTGGTGGAGTTTGTGGCCCCAGTGGGGCAGTGAGCACACAGGACAGAGAACAAAGGACTCAGAAGCCCAACTGGGCACAAAAGACAGAGAAGGAAAGCTTGTCTCAGGGGCGGGTCGCCCTGTGTGGGCAGCGGGCGGGGTGCAGGGCGGCCCCGGGCCAGGCTCACAGGCTTCCCTCGACCTGACCCGCGTCCTTCCCCGGCCAGCGCCCCTCAGTGAGCAGGGCGAGCTCGTGCGAGGGTCTCTTCTCATCGCCGCAGTGATTCCCGCTTAATCAGAATGCCCGGAACCCTCAGGAATGTGGAAGGAGTGAGGTGCCGCCCTGACGGCGCCGCCCAGGGGCCGCGGCCGCGGACTCACCTTTACAGTCTCGGGCCGCCGGGCAGGAGGGACAGTCAGCCGGGATCCCGACACGCATGATTCCTGTCTTGGTTTTCCTCTTGACTCTGGGTCACGGGTGTCTTCCCAGGCGGCCCCACCAGCGCTCCGCCTGCGGAGATTTCCTTCCAGAACCGGGGAGATGAGTGGTGTGAGCCGGTCTGCTTTAGGAAGATGCGTTGTGGTGGAGGATGGCTTTGAATCTGCCTGCATCCTGATTCAGAATGAAAACCCATTCATTCTGCAGCCCACCGAACTATTCTCAGACATGGGCTGAGCCACAAAGTGGGGTGTCCTCGGCCATGCAGCGGGGCCCTCTGGCCATCTGACAGTCTTCCATGGTTCAGGGGACACTTGTTAGCGTGCCAGCCAGCTCCTGACCATAAAGGGGCCGAGAAGGGGGAGCCCCCCTGCTTGGCCTCCTCACACCTGCCCAAGCCCTGCAGGTACCCGGGCCCACCTCCCTTAGGACCAGGGCATGGAGCCCCAGCTCCTGTGCCTGCCCATGGGTCTGCCCGCTGTGGCCCTGGGAGGAAGACCCCTCCATCTGATGGCACACAGCCCAAGTGAGGGCAGGCCTGGCACTCATGCATGCCATCCCATCTGCAGGTTGTCTGAGTGCCCTGGGGTCAGCCCCTCCAGGTGACCGAGCCTGCCCTGCCCTTCATCAGCTCAGCCCTGGCTTGGCTGGGTGGGCGGGCACGTGTACGGCGGTCTCAAGAGGTCCGACACCAGCAGAGCACCCAGGTGGCTCCAGGACAGGCCGGAAGTGTGGCTGCTAGCAGGCCCTCCACAGCGCCAAAGGGGACCCCAGCTCTGCCTACCAGTGCCCTGCGGGCCACAGCTGACCACAGGGAGCCCCGAGGAGGGCTCCGCCTCTGAGCCAAGCAGGGCCAGCGGCCAGGACGGGCCCCCTGGCTGGGGTGGGGAGGCAGCCGGGTTCTGCTCTGGGCACTTCATACAATATGTGATGCAATTAATACATTTTTTGAAACCCTGTGCGGACAAGGGAAGTTTATGTCCAGCCACACAGGCCCTGGGGCCACCACCTGGTGCTGGCTGACTCAGATCAATATCCAATTCACTAAACCATTTCATTTCTAACTTAAGATGTTCTAGAGCACGCACTCAGCGCAGGGACCAGAAGAAAGTGCTCTAAAGACACGAAGAATGAAGAGAAGAGGTGCCTCCCGGGCAGACTTCAGTAGATGCATGACGGAGGACTGGCGATGGGGGTTCTGGGGTGACCCCACTAGCCCCCTGCCCCTGTGGGGGGTGGGCCACAGGCACCGCTGCCTGCTCTTCACGGCAAGGAAACCAGGGCCCAGAGTTGTCCACGAAACTGGTGGCACCTCCTGAATTGGAATTTGAATCTATGGGGTGCTGAGCAGTTCTATGGTATTTCTAAACTCGAGATTTTTCTACAAAAAAAAAAAACTAAGCAAAATTACTTGTCTTATAAGCTGGCAGTTCGGCAGTCCCTTGTCCAGGGGGCGGGACAGACCTGGGCTCCGCAGAAGCTGTGCTGGCCAAGCCCATTCATCCTGTGATCAGAGGTCACTGCCCCATTCCCCAGAGAAAGAAGCCGAGACTCAGAGGCGCTAAGCATGTTCCCCGGAGTCAGCCAGCATTAAGGGGGCACAAGGCTCCGAAGCCCTGCCCGTTCTCTGTCACCCACCCTCCCCACACTCCAGGCCTGGGTACTCTCCAGACTGGGGCCCCCAGAAAGGCCAGCCCCAGAGCCATCACCCCGATGACCCCCTTGCCATCCTCTGCACGCTGGAGTCTCTGAGGCCCTCCACTCCCCTCTGCAGGGCGCAGGAACTCCATGTTACCAAGGGGGCCTCGGCCAGTCAGACCCCAGACCCCCTCTCAGGCTTCAGGAGGGAGGAGGGAAGGAGCAGGCTTCCTGGAGCTGTGCTGCCTGCTGCCAGGCGGGTGGCTCATGGGCCACTGCCGGGGCAGCTCTGACGCCCTCGGGGAGCACCGCGGAGACCTCGGCCTCACCCCATGTGCCCTGCTCTGCGTTCTCTCGCGGATGTGGTGGGAGGCAGGCAGCATGGCGGCCTCGGCCCCAGGATCCTGGGAGCAGTTGGGTGGCTACAGCCCACAGGCGCATCCTTCTCAGCCCACCTGCTGCCCTGCACCCCAGCCCCTCCCCGCCTGGCCCTGAATGGGGTGCAGGCGGCTAGGAGGACATGGGGAGGAGGTCTGTCCCTGTCACTCACTGGAGAAACTGCTCATGCGGCCTCCTTCTGGGAGGCTGCTGGCCCCATTTGGCCTGGAGGTGTGTCCCCTGCAGGGAGAGACCCCCGTGGGGGTCCAGATCATGGACGCTGGGTCCAGGCAGCGTGGGTTGTAGCCCCTGCCCCACCACTGCCCTTGAGCAGGCTACTTAAACACCCTCCACCTCAGTTACCCCCCTGGTGAGGTGGGGATGATACACAGATGCTGAGAGCAGTCGGTGAAGTGAGGCGCTTCTCGCTGCTGGCACAGAGGCAGCTGCCGTCGATGTGAATCACAACAGGTGTTTCTGCCCCTCCAGCAGGGCACTGGCCAGGGCTGCTGCCAGGGTGTGCACTGATGCTCACAAATAACTGGATTCTAGCACACCCAGCTTCCTGGTTGCCTCTTGCAGAAGGCACAGGGCTTGCGGGTGGCCTACAGCTGTCCCCTGGTGCCTGGATGACTGGTCACATCCATCCAGTAAAGGTTCTGGGTGGACGGATGGGTGAATGTGGTCATGGACTGAGCAGGCTCCAGGAATCATACTCGGTGGCCCGGCACAGCACATGAGAATGCTCACTGCAGGTTGGGAAGCCCGCTGCCAGCAACCATGCTGGGAAGACCCCTCCCCGCCACCAGAGAGGCCTGCCGGCTTCATCCACAAGCCGAGTCACCCAGGCCTGGTGGCCTTCAGCGGGCTGTCAGCCTCAGAGCCTCCAGCCCACCCTCCATCCCCTCCTTCTTCCCATGCAGAAGGCCACAGGGTGGATCTGGCCACAGTCCTAATTTTCCTAGGGACCCTTCTACCCACGTGCTGACCATGGCTCTTTTCTCCTCCGAGCAGCCGGACTGCCACCTGCACCTCCACCTGCGCTGGGCAGACAACCCCTACGTGTCGGGCACTGTGCACACCAAGGACTCAGCTCCAGGCCTCATCATGGGCGCAGGTAGGAGATGGCAAGAGCACCCCCACCTGACGGAATCTCCTCTTAAGGATAAAACTTGGTGGCCATGGTCCTGGGGCCAGGGTGTGTCCACTGGGAGCAGTGGCACAGCGTCCCCAGGAAGCTGAGCTCTCCTGGCAAACCCTTAGGGCTGAATGTATGGCCCAGAGGGGGCACATGTATGGGAAGATGACGGGTGGATGGGTGGGTGGGTGGATTCCCAGTGGGAGGATGGAGAAATGGGTGCATGGGTAGAGGGATAGTTAGGTAGCTAGTTGGAAAGATGGATAACAAAATGATGAATGAATAAACAGGAGGATGGGTGGATGGATGCGAGAATGATTATCATTAGTGACACTGGTCCCTGAAGGTTCTAGTTTGTTGGAGATACACATACAACTAACATGAGAAAAAAATCAAAAGTGTAAGTTGTGCACATGTCTGTCTACCTGTTAAATCAGACTTCCTTCAGGGAGCGTTAAATGTGTGGTGGTGGAACAATACCTTAAAATAAGGTTTATTTGAGTCAGAAGAAACATTCAAGATCAAGTGTGTGTTTACAAGCACCTTGTGGGCAGTGACTGGCACCTTATTTTCCTTTCATCTTGAGCACTCTGAGCCCCTCCCACACCCAGCGCCGGGCCAACCTCTGCCCGTCCTCGCCTGGGTAGAGCTCGAGGCACTGCTGATAGGTAGGAAGGAATGGCAGCAGTGCTCCCCGTTTCAGCAGGCGTCACGGGCTGGCCCTTTCTTCCCACAGCATCACAGCTACCTGGCAGGTGTAACGGCCCCACTCTGCAGGTGAGGGAGCCGAGGCTGGAGGAGTGGGCACAACGTGCCCTGACCTGCAAAGCGCTAGTCAGGAAGCCTGGAACCCAACCCAGGCCCCTTAGGGAGGGGAAGCCCACGGGGCGGGCGCTACCGCATCGCAGGGCCCCTGGAGCCCCGCCCTGAGGGGGCTACTGCACCCCTGGCAGAGGTGCAGAGCCTGAGGCACCCAGGCCACTCAGCCAGTGTGTGGACGTCCAGAGCAAGGCTTTGCACACCCTCCTGGCACACGGGGTAGGTGACAGAGAGAGTGGGGACAGCCGATGTATGGGGCAGAGCTCTCGGATTTCTGAACCCAGGACCCCATCCCTCCGTTTGCCCAGCACCACCCACCACACGGAGGGGGTGGATTTGGGCCCCAGACCCTGGGCAGACACCACAGCTGACCCTTCACCACATGCCAGCACAGAGCCCCTGGACTGGGCCAGGGCTCTTAGGGGTGAGCAGCTGGCCGTGCTGAGGCAGCAGGAGCAGCCTTCTAGGCAGAGGTGGGAGCGCACATATTCAGAATGACCGCTGCAGCCCACGGAGAGGCCGGCGGAGCGACCGCCATCGGCACTGCGGGGTGGGTCCACAGGGCACCGTGACGCGGCCCTGGAGAGGCGGGATGGCCGGCAGCGGGTGGACGCCGAAGCGGACAAAGCCCCTGAGCTCCTGGGGTTCCTCTCGTTCCCCTGGCTCCCGGGCCCCGTTCAGGGACAGCCAGGCTGGGTGGGCTCTGCTGCTTGGGACGCGTGCCCACCAACGAAGACTCCGCAGCGGCTCTTTGCGTACTGGCCCAGCTGTGCTGGGCACCCCAGTCCTGGGGACTTGCTTTTGCCAGGTCTAAAGGTGACGGTGTTTTTAAATTGCCCTGTTCTGATTGGCCGAATCCCTGAATTCTTTCCCAAAATCCAAAAGGCACAGTTTTGAATGTTTCCCTGGCTCAAAGGCCTTGAGGGCCCACTTGAGCGTCTGGCTGCCTGAGAATGCTCTGAGGGTCCCGAGGGGCTCCTCACTGCGCAGAGGTCGCTGCAGACCTGGGAGGGGGTCCTGCCCCGCCCTTCAGGAGGTGGCAGCCTCCTGCCTTCTGCACCTCGTCTGGCTGTCCCCACAAGCAGGGTGCCGCGCGGACATCTCATTCCGCTGCTTCTCAATCTGGCCGTGCTCTCCTGAGATGCCTCCAACTAGGCTGTGCGCGCCAAGTGATGTGCACATTTTTACAGCCTCTGCTCCAGCCCCGAGCCCCGCTGGGGGCGGGCAGGAAGGTGGATTGAGCTGGATCCGGGCTCCACCACTGCTCACCCGGGTCAGCTGGGGCCCCTCCTTCTCCCGCCATTCATTCCCAACCCACATCCGGGGGCAGGAGGGCAGGAGGTCCAAGCCCAGGCCCCGGCAGGGCGCAGCCTCGGGGCCTGGGGCATTTCCCTGGACCTTCCGAGTCTTTCCCTCACCTGCAAGAGGGCGAACGCTCCACGGGCTGTGACGGGGCACAGGCAGAGAGCCCCAAAGCTGGCGTGTTTCCATAGGTGCCCTTTGAGGAGTGGCTGCACACCCCTGCCCCATTCTGGGCCTGCAGCAGGTGCCCATGGGGGGTTGCGGCCCTCTCCTTACCTTCCCTTGCCCTTAACCTGTTCTGGGCTCATCACACATGGTGTGGCCTGGCCTGCTTCCCGCTGCCCGTCTGCGCCCAAGTCCTCAGGTCGCACTGCAGAGCGTAGCCAGCCAGCGATTTCCTGACATGAGTCCCTTAGCCACAAAATCATGAGGGGGCCTTGTCAGGGGCTGGGAGCAACCAGCCCACTCTGACAGGAATGTCCTCGGGGCTTCCTGGCAGGAACCGTGCCTCCCCAGCCTCCAGCCCATGACATCACCTGCAGGGCAGACTCAGGGGTGAGGCCCAGGGGCCTGAGTGGTTGGAGAGCGGGTTTGAGTCCACCGGCCCTCTGGGGGTGACCCAGCCCTCCAGAGTTGGGGCCGTAGGTGGCGACTGGGCCCAGCGCACAGCTGGGGAAGTGAGGTGCTTGCTTTGCTGCGCCGGAAGGCCGCCTGGGTCCTGATGCACCGCACCCATCCCCGAAGGGTGGGATGGGGGGATTCTGCATTGTTACTCGCCCTGGGGTCTCAGCCGCTCTGTTGCCTGGAGACCAAGGACGGACGGAGGGGATGTTCACATTCAGAGAGCACCCACTGTGTGCCAGGCCCTGTGAACTCAGAAGCTGGGAAGAGGGGCCTGGGAATCGGGGGAGGAGGCCCGAGGAGGCACAGCAGGGGAGCCTCTTAGTCCGTCCCCCTGGGCCTCAGCTTCCCCATCTTTAGAATCAGGGCATTTGCATCCAACCCTCTACGCACCCTTGTTTGTGCAGGCTCTTCCCTCTGACAGCCTGGGGGCCCATTCCACACATTTCCGCATATTTTTCAGGTGGCCGGCAGCTTGGTAGCTTTGGTAGACTAGCAAGTAAAACAGTCGCTTAGAAGGCAGACATTTGCCCAACTGAGATAAAGACTGCGAATTTGCTGCTCGATTGTGCTGATGCCACAGGTCCACTGAGCGGCTTCCGTGCCTGATAACGTGCAGCCTGGTGTGTCTGCTGGCATCTGGAGTGACAGGGACAGAAAGGGACCCCATCCTGCCTCGGCCCCACCCCATCGTTCCATTCATTCATTCCTCATTTCATTCATTAGGCACCTTTGCCAGGCAGGTAGAAGGATGCCCAGTCCGATCCCTGCCGACCTGCCCCTCTCTGGACAGCCTTCCAGTCAAGTGTCTGCCCTCCTTCACACGCTGCCCAGGCTGTTGCTCTGTCTGGCCCCCCATTTCCTTTCCCCTGGGCCAGCTCACATTTGTTTTCCAGGGCGAGTCTCAGAGGTTACTTCCTGCCGGAATCTCCTGACGACCCTCCTCTTTGGGTCCATTGGTTTTCCCCTGTCAGTTCTCCCAGGTCCTTGGGCTTCCAGATATCTGGGCTCTGTGTGCAATCGCATGGCACCCTCTTCTTCCCCGCCAGACTGAGAGCTCTCTGGGAGCAGGGCCCTGGCTTATTCAGCTCAGACACCCCACAGCTTAGCACAAGGCTGGGCAGAGAGCAGGCGACATTCAGCAAATGCTGATGAGTAAGTGTGGGGGTGGGGAGGCGGGTGGAGCTGATGAAGAAGAGATACACGTGAGAATCAGTGGACAGACGGATGGATGGACGGATAATGGAAGGGTGGATCGTGCACTGCTGCTGGGTTGGACCTTACAGAAGATGACAGGCACGCAGCCTCTGCCACTCTGCTTAGAACTTACTTTGACCCATCTGTTTGGGGATAATCCATCTCCTCTGAATTTTCCAATGACATCTAAACTTGAGTCTGGAGAAGACACTCCTGAGAGCACCACATAAATAATGCTTCACATAGAGAGTGACACCCGGGCCACCCAGGGCAGACACCTCTGGGGCTCCAGTCAAGAGCCCAGAATGGCTCTGGGGTCCTCATTACAGGTCCTGGGGGCCTGGATCCCTGGTCCCTGCCCAGACTGTGGGACACAGGGCAGGCCAGCCAAGTCCAGCTCATACATCTTGTCGTTCCCAGGAGGCCGTGCAGGGCAGTCCAGGTCCAGCTCCAGAGGCCACTGGGACCTCCGTGGAGCTTGTGCCCTTCCAGGCGACCACTGTTCTTTCTGCCGGAACCCATTTGGGCTGTTTCCTCACCTGTAAGCTAGTGCTGTCTTGGACACTGTGTGGGGGTTCTTCCTGCTCCGGCACAGGAAGCCTGTAGAGCAGCTGTGGAGGCCAGTGGCCCACCTATCCTGAGCGGAGGTGGACCAGGGCCGAGGAGCCTCTGGCTGCCCCTTGGCCTGGTGCCAGCTCGCCATCCCCTAGACATCCTCTCGGCAGATACGTGATGAGCGCCCACTACATGCCCACCCTGTCTCTTGCTGGGCTGCCCCGCACAGCCCGCACCCAGCCCCAGGGGGCCACCTCCAGTGCAGCCCAGCCACATCCTGCCCCAGATTGAAGCCGTCGGGCGCTGCCAGCCCCCACTCTGGCCCACCTAGCCTGTGTCCTCTCTAGCTGGTCCCTGACCACCACCCCACACTTCTCATTCTTGAGCCATCCTTGTTGCCTGTGGGCCCCCTGAAGTCAGTGCCCAAGCTCTGCCTGCACCTGGGCCTGGCCAGCGCCACCTGAGGCTGGCTTTCCTGAGCATGCTTAACCCTTCTCACACAGACTAGGACCCTGGGCCCAAGCTCAGCGGTGCAGTAGGCCCGTTGTTCTAAGAGGAAGGCAGACGGGGCCTGCTGATGGGGCTGGTGGTGGGACATGCAGGCCCGGGTCACACGCCACCTCGTTTGGGGATCCGTCTGGGCTCAGACCCTGAGGCAGGAGGCTCGCTGACCTTAAGAACAACCCTGCCCTTTGCTTCTGGACCAGGCAACCTGGGCTCCCAGCTGGTGGAATACAAAGAAGAAATGTACATCACCTCAGACTGCGGGCACACCTGGCGGCAGGTAAGGCCGTGGGGCCTCTCCCGGTTCTGCCCCCACCCCTAGGGCTCTGAGACACAGCTCTTGGTCCTGCAGCCGGCCGGAGGGGCTGGACAGAGCCCCAGTTGGCAGGCCTCCATCTGCCGTGTGGTGGCACGTCCAGGCTGGGCCGGCCCAGACCACACGGCCGTTCTCTCGACGGCATTGCTGGAGAACTGGGCTGACACACATCCATGGGTGTCAGGCGTGTTACCATGAAGGCCTAACACAGGGTAGATGCCAAGGGTGGTGCCTGGAGGTGCCGTCCCGGCAGGAAGCCGCCTGAGGACTCAGAGGCCCGGGCGGGGGGCACAGAGGCCAGGAAGCGGGGGACTGTGGATGACCCAAGCAGCAGCTGCAGGGTGGACAGCAGAGACATGGGGGAGAAGGAGGATACGGAGGGAAGGGCAGGTTTGGGGGCCACAGTGGGTGCAGAGCAGGACGCCTAGGAGACATGCAGGGGTGATGATTTGGGGTAGCGGTGAGGCCTGAGAAGAGAACGGAGAGGACAGTCGTGCAGGAAATCTGGGGCCTGCTGGGGCCCCGCGGGCTCTGCTGTGCTCTGGGCGGCCCGGCCCTGCACCCCACTGACATCTCAGGCCGGAGGGAGGTGCTGCTGGCCGGTGATACTGGGAGCCAAGTGGCCAAGCGGGAAGGCCACCAGTCCAGATCCCCCTGTGTGGTCACAGCAGCTCGGAGCTGCACCGAGGCCCCACCCCGGGAGAGGGTCTGTTTCGTGCCAGCAGAAACCTGTCTGATCTGCCAGCTTCAGGAGGTACAGTTCCTGCTGTGAACACTTGGGCAGGGGCACCTGGCTTCCGTGTGCATCTCGCCTCCCAGAGGCTCTGCCTGTAGGCTGTGTTTTATACCCCCGTGTGCCCCACTTACGGCCCCTCCGCAGGTAACACTCAGCAAAAACATGTTAATTCCCAAAGGGCCAAGATCACCTACAGCCTTGGTTTAAGGCCCTGACATTTTTTAATAATAAGCAAGAAACAAAGAATTTTGAAAAGGGCAAAAGAGATTTACTGTGTTATAATATTTCTATTTCAGTGAAATATGTCTAAACTTTCTTAAAGGTCACCATCTGTCCATTCATTGGAAAAATGCCCCAATTAGATTCAGCAGGTCAGGGTGAGACAGGTCTCCTAGTTTTATAGAAACCGACTTCACAGCACTCACAGTGGCCGCTTCCATCAGGCCTGGGAATGTCGGGATTCACTGGGGGAGGGTCTATCCAGACGCGGAGCTGGGGGCCTGGCCTGGGGGGCACTTGCTCCTTCCCACATGACGGTGGGGGTGAGCAATGTGGGGGGAAGGCTCCCAAGCCTCGGGGAGGAGGGTGCCCTGTTCGTGTCAGGGGAGGGAGGGAGTTGGGAGTTTCCTGAGGGGAAAGGTGCAGACGAGGATGGGGGTGGGGGTGGGGGATAGAGGCGGAGCCAGGGCCCCAGGAGCCCGGGCCAGGTGGGGACGTGAGTGAGTCCCAGATGACAGCATGTTTGCTGCTTAGTGGACAGAACCTTTCAACATGAGGTCCCTAAGATGACCAAAGAAAACCCCAAAACAATAGCCAGAAAACAATCCAGGAGCCCCCTGAGGAGCTTGGGGTGTAGGGAAGGCAGGAAAAGGGAGAGAAGGGGCTACGGGCCACCTGCTGCCTCCGCCCAGCTGCCTGGGGGCTGATCAAGGCACAGAAACCATAGCAATGGACGTTCAGAGACCCTGCACCACCCACTGGTGGGGGTGAACACCTAAGGACCCCTTTTCTGGAGTCCCAAGATGGGGGAGTGAAGTCACTCTGTGGGGTCCCCTGGGAATGCCCCCCCCCACTATCCTTAAGGGAGGAGCGCCCAGGGCTGGCTGTGCACAGATTCACCTCCCGAGGTGAAGAGGTGAATCGTCTCCGGAGCAATCAGGCGCTGAGAGGCCCTCTGTTCAGCAGCCCTGACCTCCCCCGCAGAGAAAGAGGACTAGGCCCCCTGGGGAGCTGGGAGTGGGGCTCCCTGGGGCAGGCAGAGGCCTCTGTTCCTCCAAAGACAGCCTGCAGTGGAGACAGGCGTGCCTCCCACACAGCATGGCAGGACCCAGGAGTCTGCCTGGCAGCTCAGGGGGCCTGGCACGGAGCCCAGCTTCTCCCTAAATACTCCCTGGGACAGGGAGCTCGCCACTTCGTGGAGGGGCAGACTTGTTTTCCTCTAACAGGGCTCTGCCCCTCTGGTCTGTCCCCTCCGGCACCCCGCCCCTGCCGAGCAAGCTGCTGAAAGGGAAACATGCTCAGGCCTCCATGGTCAGCACCCCCAACCCCGAGTCTCACCAGCATCTGCAGGCGCAAGTCCCCCCACCAGCTGATGCCCAGCCCGCAACCCGGGCCTCGGTCTGCCCCTGCAGCGCCTGCTCCTTGGAGACACTGCGCCCTTTCGTCTCTGGCCTCCACACCTGCGAGCTGCCTGCCTGTGATGCCCTCGGGCCTCTGGGATCAGCCCTGGGCCATTTGCCCTGTGGACCCCTTCCTGGGATGCCTACTGACCCGGGGCAGGAGTTTAATTGACCATGACATCATTCATCCCCAGAACACTGGCTGGGACCCCTTTGCTGTGGCAGAATCTGGGTGGACGATCTGGTGAGGCCCCTGTGTCCCGGAACAACTAGGGGCCCCTCCCTGCCAGCAGCAGGACAGTTGCTGCGGGGCATCAGCCTTCTGGGGCATCTCGCTGGGGCTGTGAATCCCTGGGGCCCAGACTCCCATCTCTACCCCCGGATCCCAGCACCCATACGGAGGGAACCCAGAGCACTGGGTCTGCTGGCCAGATGAACAGAGTGGGAGGACTGTCATGGCAAGTTCTCCCCCACAATACCCTGGAATCTCAGGCCTCACCCCCTGGGCCAGGAGACTACCTCTGTTAATGAGCCTCAGGCAGCATACTTACCTCCTGGCCTCTCCGAGGATGGAGGACACCAGGCACGCCTCTGGCCTCTGCAGACAGAGCTGTGGGTACAGGGGCGGTGGGTACCTGGGGAGCACTCAGGCCCTGAGCCCCGACCCCAGCCTGCGACCTCATCACTCCCGGGACACAGCCCTGCCTGCTGAGCACCACCTGCTCGTGGGGACGGGAGGCCCGCACACTCAGAGCCGTGGTAGAGGGGAGGAGGGCTGGGTCAGACCTGGCGTCCACCCCAGCTCCGTGGTTCACCAGCTGTGGGGCCTTGGGCAAGTCCTGTGAGTTTCTGAACTTCTGGCCTGTCTTTGAAAAATGGGAAAAGTAACCCCTGAGCATGGCTGACGTTAAGCAAGACCATGTGTGCACGGCAGAGGCCACCATACTGCCACCGGACCCCATGCCCTTCTCCCCCCACCTGCAGAAATGTTCACAGGCACTCAGGCCCATTTCTGCTTTTCTTGGAAAAGCTGGTCTACATTCCATCAGGGCACTTCGAGCCAGCCGCCTCCCAGCCCACCTCACCTGTCCGAGGGTCCCGGGGCCCCCGATGGGCAGCACCTGTCAACCACAAGGAAGGGCTCAACTGTGCCGGTCAGTTATCTTTCTCTGGTCATTTTGCCTGAGCTGGGAGCCTCCCACTCTTGACATTAAGGGAGGGAGGGATGGAGGGATGGTGCTGCGAGCCATCTGCTAACTTCCTCCATCTGTAACGAGGGCTGCCTGTATTCAAGCCACAAGTGTTTCCTGGAGAATTCCCATGAGCAGGGGGAAACAGAGGGAGGAAGCGCCTGGGGAGAGCTCTGCAGGCCAAGAAACAGCATGTGCAAAGGGCCTGAGGCATTCAGGGAAAGGAGCGAGGGTACATGGGGCATAGTGAAAGGTGGGCGATCCCTGAAGGCCGTGGGGGGGTTTGGATGTGATTCTGACAGTCACGGGGTCGGCGGGGGGTGGGCATTGGAAGGTTCTGGTGCTGTGGAGGACATGGGGTGATGGGATGGGATGTCAGGGCTGAGGGCTTGGCCTAAAGGCACCCACCCAGCTCTGCGGAGTCTTACATACCTGAGCTTTGGGGTCAGCTCTGCGTCCTCCCCACAAGCTCCTGAAAAATCCCAGATTCAAGCAAAGACTCAGGCAGGAGCGGGGGAGTTTGTTTAACAGTGTCCCGGTTCCCACTTGCTCATTGTCTGAGAACTGTCCCTGGAGTCCGGCAGCTTCTGGGTCTCTGCCAGGACGAGGGCAGGTGCACACATCTGCCCACATCTGTGTGAAGGGAGCCAGCTGTGCCCACTGATTCAGCCTCGCTCAATACTGGGTGTGCCTCCCTCCCGGCCCAAGAGAGACACCTGGCTGCAGGGCCTGGCCAGGCCCCCTGCAAAGGTCCTGCAGCGAATGGGTGGCTGACCCAGAGGAGGGCGCTGCCCTGGCGAGGGGCTGGCCCGGTGGGGCCCTGGCTCTTCCATCTCCTGAGCCGCCTGTGCTCCCGCCGCAGAACCCGGGCCCTGAGCTGGTGGGGTCCTGCCTCAGAGCGGTCAGGGGTGGGCCCCTCCTGGGGAGGGGGTGCAGTGAGGATGACATGGGGCGGGTATTGGCGCTCCTCTCTGGGCAGGGTGGAGACACACGCTCGGCATCTAGATACTGTGCTCACAGGTGATCTGCACAGACGCCTGTGCCCCGGCGAGATGGGAGTCACCCCGGCCATGCCTCCTGCCAGCTGTGAGGCCTTGGCCTGCAGCCACTGGCCCAGGCCACAGCTTCCCCTTCTGTGGGGTGGGACCACATCCCAGGGCTGATGCAGACAAGTGAGCCCACCAGGGCTATTTTCTCCTGTGTGGGCCCTGTCCAGGCCACTCGACCTTTTGTACCCTGAGGACATGGCAGTGAATCAGTCATTCATTCACTTGTCATTCATTCACCCCACACACCCACGGAGCCGTGTTGGGCCACGGAGGGGACCCAGAGGCAGGCCTGACGTTTGAGGAGCTCCCTGGCAGGGGGAAACAATTAGTGTAGTAAGTGCTGGGATAGGGGTCCAGAGGCCCTCCCAACCTAGCCTGGCATCAGGGAGGGCTTCCTGGAGGAGGAAGCAGTTGCTCTCAGACTTAATGTCAGGTAACGATTTGCTTCTACTAATGATGCTTATTCTAAATGCTTTTCTAAATTCCAGTCTTTCTCATCTGCATGTTGTGGCCTTCTGGGTTGTTGAGTGTTTCCTGTAGAAGGGGTCTTCTGTGGTGTTTATTTGCAATTTTCTCTCTTGGTCAGTGATCTAGAAATTGCCATCATCAGCCATCATTCCACATAGACTGAGTCTGGCTGGTGTGGGGGAAATGCAGATAGCCTGGGGGACGTGGGGGGCCCTCAGACCAGCCCTGCCCCAGGGAGCTGGCCGCTGCTGTGCCCCCCGGCCTGCGGGTTGACAGTTCTGCCCACGGCGAGTGACCCCCAACCCTGAATGACGTCCGGCCCTTCTCAGGGCCCTGCCCTCAGAGCACCGTCCGTTCTCATCTGCAGGTGTTCGAGGAGGAACACCACATCCTCTACTTGGACCACGGCGGTGTGATTGTGGCCATCAAGGACACCTCCATCCCCTTGAAGATCCTCAAGTGAGGTCACTGGGGCCCAGCATGGGGGTGCGGGTGGGTGGACTCTTCCGCCTGGTAACCCTTCAGGTTACTCCCTAGAGCAGCCTCCCCGTGGGGCCCAGGACAGTGGCACTAGCCCACCAGCTGGGGTACCAGCAAGTTCTGCAAAGGTCCCCCCGGCCCCAGTAGCTGCCTGGGCACTGGGACATGGAGAACAGGGAATGACGACACAGCATGGTAGGGTCAGCCAGAGGGAGGCCTGGGGCTGTGCAGCCCAGAGAAGGCCCCTGCCCCAGCCAGGGCACGCTGGGAGGGCTTCCCAGAGGAGGTGACTTTTAAGCATCACCAGAACTTAGTTACATGGAGGAGGTAGGGCCAGACAAGGAAGCTGGCAAGACGTGTCCGGGTGAGAGTGGTTTGGCATCCGCTTCAGACATCTGAAGGGCCCTTCTGGTGGAGTAATGGCAGGTGTGAATTCTGGACTCAGGAGGCAGAGGTGGGAGGGCTGCTAGGAAACCAATATCTCTTTAGTCTGAAAAAGAGCTTTCTCACTGATGTGATGCCTTGAGAGGCAGTGAGCCCCTGTCACTGACCCGGCAACCCCAGGCTGGGCTCAGACACTGTGTGGGGCTGACCAGGATTTTTCCAAGGCCTGGATAACTGCAGTGCAGGAGGTACACCGGCTCCATGGTACCCAGACAACACAGCCAGGACGCGTTGGCTGTAGTTTGCTAACAGGTGCAGACCCCCCCAGGTGCGGGTAGGTGGCCACTGAGGCCTCCCCAGAAGAGAGACTAGGGGTCCAGTTGCAGCCCAGACACTGGGTAGCCCCAGGGCCAGCTGCCCATTCTCCCAGCCACCCCAGAGCAGTGCTGGTCCCTGGGTTCGGGCGGGGCCATGTCCAGCAGGGCAGCTTGGCCTGGACATGGGGGCGCTCCTGCCTGCCCTGCGGGGGTGACACCCTTCTGTTGGCAGGTTCAGCGTGGACGAGGGCGTCACCTGGAGCACGCACAACTTCACCAGCACCTCCGTGTTCGTGGACGGGCTGCTGAGTGAGCCAGGGGATGAGACGCTGGTCATGACGTGAGTGCCTGCAGGAGGTGCGCGGGCAGGTTGCCACTGGCCCCAGGCGGGCAGTGGCAGAGGACCACTTAGGGCCTTACTGCTCGATGGCAGGCTCAGCACGGAGCCCAGCCCCACCTCGCCTGCTCCCGCTCACCTCCACCACCACACCCGCCTCTTTGTCTCCTACTGTCCACTGTTTCCTCCCACCTCTAGCCGCTGGGAGGTGGCCGCTCCGTCCCTATCCAGGGACATCCATCACCTGCCAGGATCGCCTGACCGGCTGGCGAGGGGTGGGACCCAGAGCAGGGCAGGCTCTGGACCGCTGCCCCACTCTGCCTCCTGACTTTTATTATTATTATTAGCTGGGGGCACCTGCAAAGGACTCACAGGCACATGGCACAGTGAGGACCGAGTCCCAGACAGACCAGGGCAGGGCAGAGCCAGGCTGTGAGCCCGGCCCCGGGACCCCGGCCCAGGTCAGGCTGGGGTCCGAGGCTGTAACCCGAGCCCTGGGTCCATTTTTCTGACACCAGCAGCATGTGCCAAGCCCCAGCTTGGGCCAAAGGCTGCACAAGCACCATGACGGGGGCAAAGGGGCGCCGGGCATCCCTGCTCAGAGCGGCTCATGGCCAGGGAGCAGACTGGGAAGGCGGGGACTCACAACTGCACCCAGCCCTCCCAGCAGGGTGAGGGGCCACGCGTGCAAGCCTCCTTCCCAGGCCATCCCAGCCCCTGGGGACTTACTTCTCTGGGCAGAGCTGACTCACAGGCCTGAGACTCTGCCTATAGACTCCGCCAGCGCTGCGTGTGCCCAGCTGTACTTGGCAGAGCAGAGTGGGGCCCCATGTACCCTCCTTGCCTTTTATCAGTGACACCTGTACTGGGGAGAACAGTGTCCCCAAAAATTCATGTCCACCCAGAGCCTGTGGGAGTGACCTTATTTGGGAATAAGGTCTCTGCTGACGTGATTAGTTAATAAGATGAGGTCACACTGGAGCAGGGCGGCCCTCAGCCTGATGACTGGGGGCGTCGAGAAGAGGAGAGACACAGGGGGGCACACAGAGAATGTCATGTGTGGCAGACACAAAGACTGGGCTGATGCAGCCCCACGCCAGGGGCACCCGGAGCCCCCTGTGGCTGGAAGAGGCGGGATGCGGCCTCCCCTGGAGCCTCGGGACGCACCCGGCCCTGGGACCACCTAAATCTCACCGTTCTGGCCTCCAGACCGAGGAAATGAGTGTCTGTTGCTTGGAGACCCTAGTGTGGGGTACGCCACTAACAGCTGCCCCAGGAGGCTCCTGCAATGCCCCATAACTCCTCTCTCTGTGACCGCTCAGCTCAGGGCCAAGGGGAACACTTGCCCTCTGGACCCCAGTGTCCTTCTCCCCTGCGGATTGGGTGGCAGCTCTGTGAGGTCCTGACCAAGTCCACCTGGCCCCACACCACAGGGGAGGCCATGCAGGCCAGCACTCTCAGTCATCTCAGCGTGGCCTGCAACATGCTGCCCTTCTGGGCTTCCAGGGCCCTCAGAGCAGGTGGTCCCGTGGGCTCACCTGTCAAATCCAGACAGACTGGCAGGGCAACATCCTCTCTTGCGGGTGAAAGATGCTGGCCTGACGGAGCAAGTCTGTGGGCGGGGTGAAGGCGCTCCGGGAGTCCCGTGGGGCCTTCAGGGTCTCAGAGCAGCTCGTCTTTGCCCCGGGACTGGACTGATGAGACGCAGGGGACGCGCCAGCTGCAGGATGGGCAGTGCTTTCCCCCGTGAGGATCTGGGCTGCCCGCCTGCTCCTGCTCGGCCCCTTCCAGAGCGTACAGCCTGGCTCTGCGCACGGCCCCTGGAGGTCCTTGCCCTGCAGCCTGGCCCGGAAAGGCCGTGCGCTGCAGCAGGCATTGCCTGCCTAATTAACCAACCGCACTCCCGCGTCTGCCCTTGCGGCTCATGATGGGCTCACTGAGCCTCCAAGCCACAGCCCCCGGCTGTCCTGTCCGTGGTGAAAGCCCCAGAGAGGCCGGCCGGGACAAGCCCCAGCCTTAGGCCTAAGCTGGAACCCCCTCCACCCCCCCAGCCAGGCAGTGCCGCGCCCCCTCCCCCCGCTGCCCGGGACCTGCCTCTGCACCGGGCAGGGCTCACAGCCGGAGCTTCTGCAGGTCCGAGGCAGCCCCCGAGCCCCCCACTGCCTGGGGTTGGGGCTGGAGGCACAGCCCTGGAAAATCTGCCACTGCTGGCCACTGTCACTTGTGTGTCCAGCACCTGGGCTGCAGGGAACAATGGACGGAACGGGGCAGAAGGACCCGGAGCCAGGGAGCACGGATGCCCTTCTCGGGGCAAGTGAGACAAGGGGGTCATCAGCATCCGAGCTCCCGACAGACTTGCTTCAACTTGAAAGATGCCCTCCCTTCAGCCCCGCAGCAGCCCGGTGCCCTCTGCACACCCTTGCTAACTGTCCTGAGCACCTGCTATACGCTATGGGTCCGTTTTTATGGCCTATCTCATTCTGTTCTCTTAGGAAAGCTCCATAGGAGGATTTATCGATGACTTTTAGCAATGCTAAAATCTCAAAAATCCTCCACCCAGGGAGCAGTAGGCCCCACTCATGTCAGCTCTGCATGGTTCCTGAGAGCCAGGGATGGGAGGCTGTCCTAGGAAGACCGGTTGAGGGTCATGGCCCCTAATTCCTGCTCTGCCCTGGCCTTGGGCCCCGGGCCACCCCTCCTTCCATTGCCTTGGTCTTGACAAGGGGCAGCAGCTCCTCTGAGGACCACCGGAGGCTGCACTGGGCATGTGTGGGAGGGCGAGGGCACAGAGGCTGCAGACACGGTGCCACATGGGGCTGTACCCGTCTGGGGTGAGGCGGCAGCAGCTTCCCGGGGCCGTAGTCCAGGAGCAGAAGGGAAGACAAGCCTCCAGGCAGCGTGTCGCCCCTGCTGGCTGGCGGAAGTCCAGCGCCCTCAATGTCACGGCGGGAACTGAGCTGCTGGCCGCTGAGCCCATCGTCCTCCTGTCCCCACAGCAGGGCAGTGTTTTGGCCCCAGAATCAGACCAGTTTTCATCTGCCACCAACAGACAGGGCATTCCATCCCCGGATGTTTCTGTGAGTTTGCTAATGGCAGGATTCACAGCCAGGGGCTACAGCCCTTGAGCTTTTTCAGAAGCCCCAGAATGATGCCCACAGGCCTGTTTCACAGCACCAGGCCTACAGACACATGTCAGACTCCAGCGGGCACAGAGGCAGTTCCAGGGGCACAAAGAGGGAATGTGCCTGCAGAGCAGCGTGAGGAGCCCACCTCTGGACTGTCGGAGCGTCCCCACTCCGGCCTGCGTCCTCTCGGCCCCTCCTTTCCCCCTGTCCCTCTCTCCCCGCTCCCTCTCTCTCTCCCCTTTTCTCTCCCTTTTGGCACGGTGTGAGCATTTTCCCCCATGGTTTCCTTATCCAAATACGCCCAAAAGTCACGTCCAAGCCGACCACAGTCGCCCTTTGGGATGTTGCCCTCAGCCCGGCTCGCCTTTGCCCACCGCCCGGGCCTTCCCCTGGGCAGCATCAGTCGGGGGAGGCCCCTGGCCCTGGGCCTCCTCAGGGTGGGGAGCGGGCCGTCTAAAGGGTGGTGGGTTCCTCACTCGGCCTGCACAGCCTCGCCTGATTTTCCTTATTAACTATGAAGTCAGAAACAGGCTGCCTTTGGCATCTCTTTCCTGAAACTCAGAATTAAATGCCAGATAACAGGTATTTCTGGAAGTATCAGCTGAGGTTTCAGGTTTCATAAAAGGCAGGACTTCAAAGACGTGGAGGGGATTAATCAGATCGACCACGCCAGCTGCTTCTTGGCTGAGGCTGGGAGCAGGGGAGACGCGGTGGGCTGGGCTCTGCAGCGGCCAGGAGGCTGTGAGGCTGTCACGCTGGGGCCAGTGCTGAGGGGCATCACAGCTCCGGGGTCACCGGCCCAGGCACCAGTCTCAGCTCCTCCGGGAGGCTGGCCCCAGCCGCACCAGCCTGGCGGGTCCCTGGCCTCAGTCTCTGCCGCCTCATCTGTAAAATGGGAATGATCATCATATGTTCCTCACAGAGTCTGGTAAGGACAGGATAAAACGTCGAGCACAGGGTCCAGCACGCAGTAGGTGCCCCACACGGGGCAGGCTGTTGTCACTTTCATAATGATGTGGTTTTTAGGGAGCCACAGACTCCTGCTGCAGGGGCCTGGCAGTTTCCCCTGAAGAGCACCCTGTTGAACAGCCAACCCAACAGGCTTTGCTGGGGAAGGAAGTCAGTGCGGCAAAGAAGACCCCTCGCCTGTCGATACTTCCTGGCAGGAGTGCCGTCGTCAGGACACAGCGCGTCGGATCCCAGCGGGCAGGCAGGGCACCTCCACGGCCGTGGTCCCCACCACCCGCACCTCCCAGACCTCCCGCACCTGTTGGAAGCAGTGTCTCAGGAGCAGCTGGGTGAGGCCACATAGAAACGGGCGTGGACACGTGCCCCTGGCCAGGGCTCCATCCCTACTGCTCGCTCCTGGGAGAGCGGCAAGGACTCTTGACCACCAGGAGGGAAGAGCTGGGTGGGCCTGTTGACCACGGAACCTGCGCAGCCTGGGCTGGAAGGACCAGAGAGGCGCCATCAGCGGACAGAGAGGAAGGCGAATCCAAGGATGTGGAGAGCCATGGGCCAGCTGCACCCCCTCACTGTGGTGGGAGCGCAAGGGGGCCAGCCACAGGGCAGGCTCAGGGGCTGCGAGGTACAGAGAAGGCACTTGCCAGCCTGCAGGGGCTGGGATTTATCTGTGAAATGAAGAACAGCATCTACTTGGCGGGCCTGCTTCGGGGAGCAGTGGTAATGTGTGTGCCTGTGTGTATGCGCGAAAGTGTGTGGTGTGAAGCCCCCGCCGTGTACCAGCATCCTGCACAATCCATCATCCGTCCCGAAAGGCAGTGTTACTGCCCCCACTGAGAAGCCAAGGAACAACGTACCGGGAGAGGACGCTACGTCTGCCCAAGGCCACAGACAGAGGGAATCGGTACCATCCTCTGCCTGGCTCAGAGCTGCACCCTATCAGCCTTGGGCATCCAGCGTCCGTTATCATGTTCCCAAGAAAACACTCCAAGACCCTCCTCAGCTGCCAGCCTAGAAAGGTTTGCATCTATTTAGACCATCGATCCACCCCCTCAAGTATCCAGTACCTGCCAGTGTGTGTGGCAGGGGACCAAGACCGCATCAGGTGCGTCGCCTCCCCCACCCAAAGGCCTGACCTCTGGTGATATGTCCTGAGCGCTACAGGCTGGACCCCCTCTTCTGTGATGGTCTTTGGAGCCCAAGTATGAGGCACCAGGGGGAAGCCCCTTAAGTAGGAAGGGATCTGGGCACCTGTGGGCCCTCAGCAAATGACCACTGAATGCCGAGGGAGAAGAAATGGCGCGAACCAGCTGTGTGACCTTGGGCGATCACTCACCCTCTCTGTGACCAGTTTTTCTTCCTGTAAAATGGAGGTGGCCTCATCTCCCTGGGCTGTGGTGAGGATTAGGCCAGGCAGCATACATGGAGCCTTTCGCACACTGTGGGTGCTCCCCAAATGGCTGGCCTCCACAGAGCCCAAGAGGCGCTCCATTCCCCTGCTCCCACCACCCGCCAGGGCTGGAACTGCGGGGCAAGCGTGAGGCTGCGGTCCCTCCCGTCACGCAGCTCGGGGTGATGCGATGGCATTACTTCTCCTTGGGCTGCTGCTACGCCTGGGAGTAGGCAGCCCACGGCCCAGCTCCACAGCGCTGCCCCCGAGGCCCAGGCCTGGGACCGAGGCTGGGGGACAGGGGGGAGAGGCCGGCAGCGCCTGTCGCAGCTGTCTGACCACATGTCAGTCTGCAGGCTGGAAGCAAGGGTCGTCCTGCCCGTAACACCCTGGTCCTCGTCCACCACGGGGTCTGCACGGGACAACCCCTGCCAAGGCAGCCCACGGGCCGCAGGTCACGGTAGCTGTGGGAACACAGAGGCCAACGCTAGTGATTCTAGGCCCCGGGCAGCCCAGACAGGCCAGGAGCCATACCGCTGCCCCCTGCGCAGGGGCACCGAGGGGAGCAGTGTGCACCACACGACGGGCCGAGCTAAGGTGGCTGCCCGCCTCTTCCCTCCTCCTCCCCAGTGTCTTTGGCCACATCAGCTTCCGCTCCGACTGGGAGCTGGTCAAGGTGGATTTCCGGCCCTCCTTCTCCAGGCTGTGCACTGAAGAGGACTATGGCTCTTGGGACCTCACTGACCTGCAGGTGGCCGGGCCCAGCTGCGTGGGTGGGTGGGCCCTCTCCTGTCCACGTCCCCCTCCAGCGAGGCCACAGGCACTGTCCTCCAAGAGGCCTTCCCAGAGCCCCGATGGCTTTCGACGTCCGCCCTGTGCCCCCTCAGTGCCTGGGCTGCCTGGGGCAGGGGTCTCCGGTGCATGCAGGGGATGCAGGTCCACAGGCACCAGCCCTGTTCTGACTGTTAGCTGAGGACCTACTGCGTGTCCCTGTGAGCGCTGGAGGCCAAGACTCCTCCGAGCTCCTGCCAGGGGCCCTGGTTCCCAGCAGGCCTGTGACCCGTCCGTCTGGAGGGACCTCGTGCCCAGTGGGTGCCTGCCCACTGGGTGCTGTGGGCTGGGATGGCCCGGTGCTGCCCCTTCCCACTGGGCCTCAGCTTCCCCACCCACGGAGGGCACACCCGCTCCACCCCAGCATTTCCCGGGATGGGCACAACTGCAGCGCAGGCGGTGCGGAGCGGCCTGCGCCTCTCGGGCCAGCCCCGCCGCGGCTTCCCCGCAGGGCGAGCGCTGCCTCATGGGCCAGCAAAGGAGCTTCCGGAGGAGAAGACCGGCGGCCTGGTGCGTGAAGGGCCGGAGCTTCACTGCGGCACGCTCAGCCCGGGTGTGCAGGTGCCGCGACGCGGACTTTGTCTGGTGAGGCTGCGCCCCTCTGTCCTCTGTGGGGGCCCGGCCGGGGAGGTGGGGGCGCAGAGGCCGCCCTGCCTGGTGCAGCCTGGCCCCAGCACCACGCTCCTCCCTGTGCCTTATCTGGGCACTAGAACTGAGTTCCAGGTCCAGCCCTCACCCCAGGATGGCATTAAAGAACTCGTGGTGAATTTCTAAACCACCACAGGTGGCCTGCGCACAGGTGGGCGTTGGTATTAGGAATAGGTGGGGGCGTCTAGGGGGCAAGCTGGCCCCCAGCCCCTTCTCCTCTGTCCAGGGAAGCTGCCAAGGGCCCCCTGCCCTGCTCCGAAACTCCTGAGGCCGGCCCCTGCCCAAGGAGAATGTCCGAGCTCCAGAACTCTGCTCATAAGGCCTCTGGCCCGCCCCTGCCCCCCAGCCATCCTCACCCCTTGCCATCCTGCGCCCTTGATCCCTGCCACCTCCACCAGTGTCTCCCTGCACCAGTGCTGAAGGGGGCAGTCCCCACGCACGCGGCCCCTTCCCTTACCCCCACCCCCACAGCACCCTCTCTTCCTCTGAGATTCAGTCCACCTCCTCCAGGCAACCCTCCAGGACCCCAAGGCTGGGCCCGGTGCATTCCTGCAAGTCCCTAGAACCCCTTTGCACCCCTTCTCACCTGGACCACCTCTCTGCTGGGATGGAGCCCCAGGGATCTGCCTCCATCCCCACAGCGGGTGCAGAGCAGGCGCTCTCCGGGACGTCCCCGTCCAGGGCTGGCCCCCACACCCCGGGCCTGCCTTCTGACTGCTGTGCTTAACCCCCAGTGACTACGGGTTTGAGCGTGCCCCCTCTTCGGAGTCTGACACCAAGTGCTTCACCAGCTTCTGGTTTAACCCCGTGTCCCCGCCTGCCGACTGTGTCCTGGGCCACACCTACAGCAGCAGTGTCGGGTGAGTGCAGCGCTGGGCCATCCTGTCTGCTGGGCTCCTGAGAGCCACCCCAGACCCTGACCCCCCAGGGTCCTCCGAGCTGAACTCGTGTAGGCCAGGGCCAGGAGAAGAGATGGCTCGAGCTGGCTCTGGACAGAGAGCAATGCGCGGGGAAGGCCCCAGGTGCCCCAGCTCACACCTGCTGCAGGTGCTGAGCCCACCCAGGGAAGTAACACCCGCTCCTCTGCCCTTTCGGAGTCCCTGCAGGGCCAGGATCCTCCCCCACTACCAACACCAAGTGAGCCAGGCCCTGAGCTGGGCCAGAGGTGCTCACACTCCCTTCAGTTCTCACTTGAAGAGCACTCCCTCCAGGAAGCCCTCCCTGACCACCAGCCTGGGACCCTGAGCCTGCCTCTGTTGTGGCGCACATCCTGGTGACTGTCCCCACTCAGCCACTTGTCCCCCCTGCTGGGCTGTACGCTCCGCCACACGCAGTAGGTGCTTCTTCAGCATGTGGTGTGATGAACACAGGCTGTGCACAAGGACAAAGTGCTCAGCAGGTGTGCACAGTGCGGATACCAGGGGCTGAGCACATCCTTTATAAACAGGTGACATCACGTAGCAATGTTAGCACATAAGCTGGGAACCTGCACCCCGGGGGGCCTCAGACATGCTGTACATCAAGGTCCCCGTTTCCCACTGAAGAAGTTTTGAGAGGAAAGAAAAAGCCCATGGGTTTCTTAGAAAATCCGCATTCCTGCCCCTGGGGAAGGAACTGGGCAGAGCCTGTCGAAGTGGGCCCAGAAATTGTGGGCTTTGCCGTGGGCAGCATAAATCCCACCATCTACCCATTGTCTACGCATCCATCTGCCTCCCTCCCAGCCAGCCAGCCGGCCACCCACCCTTCCACCCCTCCAGCCATCATCCACCCACCCAGTTCTTCCATCCCTCCATCTGTCTCCCTTCCTTCCGTCACCCATCCGTCCAGCCATCGGCAGCCACAGCAGCCTCCCCAGGGCACCCACCAAGGTCTGGCAAATAGAGACTCTTGTCTGAAGTGTCAGAGCCGGGACCCATGTCAAGGGAGAAGGGGTTCGTTGCATGCCATCTGCACACCCTGGGCCCCAAGGTGCTGCAGGTGGGCAGCTCTCACAGCGTGCATTTTCTTCCAACCTAATAGAATGTGTCCTTGGGTGGTAGACTCCTGAGTGTGTGTTCAGTGAGGGGAGGAGGGGTGCCAGGCTTGGGGAGGTAGGCAGGCCCAGGCACATTGGCAACGATGCTCAATGGGACCCAGTGCCTGGGGTAGCATGAGGGAGCGTCAGAAATGGCAAGTCTGATGCTCCTGCCCTCGCAGTGGTTTCCCAGGGTCCCCTAAAAGAGCCCAGCAGGCTCTGCCCACCAGCTCCCTCCAACCTCACCCCCCATGTGTCCCCCACTCTGGCTGTGGCCGCCCACCACAGGACCTTTGCACACCCTGAGCCTGCTCTCCTGAATGGTCTTCCCTCTGCTGCTCACGCTTCTGATCCCAGCTGGAAGCCCCTTTGTCAGGGACCAGATTCCCAGAGGGACCGCTTCCCAGTGCTCTGCAGTGATGACGTCCCATGATGCAGGAGACTCTCTGATGCCATCTACCACTGCCCAGACATCTGCCCTGCTAGGGCAGGGGCTCCGTGTGATCACCTCATACCCCAGAGCCTGGCACACGGTAGATGCTCAGTGAATACGTGTTGTAGGAGTGAGTCGTAAACTGGGCACCCTCCAGTCCGGCTCTCTCAGTAATGAGGAAAGGGCCCTGAGAGGAGCGTGTTGGCCTGCAGCCCACGGGGCACGCCCCGCCCAGGCTCTCTGTCCTTCTGGGGACCACATTTCTCAGCCAGGCCCCCAGGTGCAGGCTGGCCCCTTCAATCATGCCCCAGCCCCAGCCCCAAGAGGTGTTACTGTGATCATGGTAAGTAATGGGATCGGAGCCGCTGAAGCAGACCCGGCCGTTCCCGGCTGTTCCCTCCTCGACGCCGGTTTTCTCACCTCCAAAACGGAGCAGTAAGAGCAGTTGGTGGAGCTGGAGGGCGACAGAGCGAGGAACGGAGATTGCAAGCCAAGCACCATTCCTCGGTGACGAGCACGTCCCGGCCCGGGTTGTAGGCCCACCCCGACCTGCCTCCGCGTGCAGACCCTGACCCCTGTCTGACCGCAGGTACCGGAAGGTCGTGTCCAATGTGTGTGAGGGCGGCGTCGACCTGCAGCAGAAGCCGGCACAGATGCAGTGTCCCCTCACGCCACCCCGGGGCCTGCAGGTCAGCATCCGCGGTGAGGCGGTGGCCGTGCGTCCTGGAGAGGACGTCCTGTTCGTGGTGCGGCAGGAGCAGGTGAGCGGCGGCCGTCCCGCCAGGCGCCCTGGGGTGCTCGTGCAGGGCCACCACCACCAGGCAAACAGGATGTGTGTGTGGACGGGAGTCCTCTCTGCCTCCCAGTGGCCTAGAGCAGCACCCTATAGGCCAGCCCTTTCCAAACTGCAGGGGGGAATGGTGGGCCCTTCCTTTGTCAGGGTCCAGACTGGCCCTGACAAAATGCAGGAGGAAACCTAGAAAAGAGCGGCGTGGAAGGGCCCAGGGACTGGCGGCGTGCCGCCCGCGGGCTCTGCCGTTGCTGTGTAGGTGTGTTTGTGTTTGCTGGACTGCCATATAGTGTTTATTCATTCCCGTGGGTGGCAGTAACATTTTTTAAACCTCTAATTATATTGGTTTAGTTAATTTGGAATCCTAAGGAAAACAGAAAGTTAAAAAAGAAAGACCTATAATCTCACAACACAAGATGAATTTTTAGGTAGGTAGGTAAATAGATATATAGAGAGAGATGGAGTTAGATGATAGATAATAAATAGATGTAAATAGATAAATGATAGATATACCCAGATGGGTGTAGATTTAAATTTATATAAGATATAAAAATACATGGATTCACTCCTCGTCTCTCCCTTTTTTCCTTTAGTACAAATGTTAATGTTTTCTTCTGATTTTAAAAATAGTATCACTCATTGTAGAGCATTTGAAAACACACAAAAATACTGGGAATATAAATATCACCAAAAACCTGCTCCCCCAAGTTAACAACTGTTAATTTTTGTATTTCCTTTTAGTCTTTTAAAATTATCTACAGTGCTTGCTTTTCTTAATATAGAAGCAAAAATGCTCATTGTAGAACATCAAAAACAGAAATTAGAAAAACTTACAAGCATGTAGGGAATCTTTCAAAACTACAGAGAAGACTACGTTGAAGGCAGAGCCTCCTGTTTCCCAGCGGAGAGACGCCCTCCCCCGGCCCCGGGGCTCCCAGCCATTGGGCAGGCGTGCCACTCCGCTGGGCGTTTGGACCTTGGGTCGACAAATACACTGAATGAAGGAAGTTCAGCTTTAAAACTGCACGCGCTTTACTTAGATGTTCTTCCAGATCTGGTGCTAAGGCGGGCAGGCTGGTGATGACAAAGGTCTTTGGTACTGGGGAGCAGGGACTTGAGTCTAGTGCAAGTGGGGAAACTGAGGCCCAGGACGCGGAGCTCCACATGTGAGCTCCCGCTGTCGGTGCCTCCTTCGCCCGGCCCACGGCCTCACCCGAGGTGCTCCTGTCCACCCGTGTTAGAGCTGGGTAAGCCGAGGCTCACATGGGTTCAGTCACTCACCCAAGGCCAAAGCAACAAGTGGCAGAGCTGGCATTAGGTCCCAGGCCTGGGGACTCCGTGTGGACGGTGCCCAGTACGTGGACCCCAGACTAGAGCTGGTTCCAGGCTGGTGCCGGGTCCCACCTGTCCCTGGTCCCCGCGAGAGCCTGGCCTTGAGATTCACTCTCCAGG